AAGTGATTTTTGTTGTATTTTTAATCAAATAAGCGCAGCCATGGTTAGCAGAAGAGAATTCTTTTAAAAGTATTTAAAATCGTACCGACCCCAAACTTTTGAACGGTAGTGTATATATATTCAATTCTTGTGTGTGTGATGGAGGCAAACCAAGTGATTATTCTGTAATGCTTGAGCAAATTATGGAATTATAAGACTGTGGTTTGTGTGTGCGCGCACGTGTGCATGTGTGTGTGTGTGTATGAATGCAGGGGTCTACCTAGATATATTGAGAGTTGTGGATGGAGGTAGTGCGGTCAGTCGCTTATGAAATGACAGTATGGAAAGACAGACCAACTCACCTGCTCTTAATCTGCCATCCGAATCTGCTCTCCGCGCTCGGATTACATATGTTTCTGTCTGTGCTCTTTGGGGAGGTATGCGTGCATGTCTTCGCCCCCTTACCCTTTATTTGACAGTCATTATTCTCTCATGTCAGTATTTTTTTGCATGCCGTGGAGGTGATTTGTCTCTTTCTTGAAAAGCACTTTACGACGGCAGGCCCACCGGCCTTGTCAGTGTCTTGCAGGTTTGAAGCTTTGCAGTCCCTCCTTATCTTTATCCCCTTAACACTCATGGACGCGTAGCACAGTGAGACTGAAAGAGGATAGCCCAATAAAACTCTCAGCCACGGGAAAGGATGTGCGCCAGGGCCCGGCTACTGTGAGAGAGGCTTGTGATCCGCAGATCCTCCCCCACCAGGAGCGAGCTGTTCCGAGCTGGGCTTCGAGGGCGCGTCAGGGGCTTCCTGTGCCGCCGGGCCTCCGGAGTCTTTGAGGAAGGAGCCAGTGGCTCGTCTCTGATGGACCGCCTGACTGACAGCATTGATCCAGTCTCCTGCCTCTCAGTGTGGGTATCGAATGGCGCCCGATGAGCTGATAGGTGATAAATGAGAGAGGGAGAATGTGAAGGAGGCCGGTCATTGTTGAGGGGTCTGACTTCTCTTTCCCCCTGGTCTTTTTGAGGAGGGGTTCTCGAGCTATGAGAGTGCCAGGTAGGAGTAGAAATGCAACACACCACAGCATCTGGTGAAGACAGCTTCTTTTAGAGGAGACGTAATGAAAGAGAGCAGATGGACAGATTCCTCTGTGAACCTTTTCCGAAGTCTTTTGGCAGGAGCTGGAGTGTGAGGTTCAAGAAGGTGATGTTTGTAGCTGAGGTGATCAATGTTGCAAAGTGCAAGAGAACAGCCAAGGGTCTTTGTGGTCAACACCCCCAATCTATTGTCATTTTTGTCCTTATAGGTTCAGTGGAGGGTCCCAGGAGTCCTGACTCGTTTGAGCTTTTTGTTAGAGGACCCACTTAGCATTGTTCTGATTAGGAACCTGGGGATGGGCAAAATCAACTACACTATATATAACAGTACAATTAGTTTTGATGGAAAAATTTAGCCCCGAAATTATTAAAATAGTGATATCTCTTTTGTGTGTGTATGTATATTTTAATATAAATATGATCATTTTTTACTAAATGGAGGTAAATCAAAAAAATATTCATAAATTAATTAATCTGAAAAATTGTGTAACCCTTGAGTTAAAACAAGATTCAAAACTAATGCATTATACAATTTGGCTTTTTGAAGCTAAATAGCCAATATATGAACAATTAGATGTCTTTGACAAAAGTCAGAGTGGATTACAGACTGGTCTAATGTTCAATAATATGGAAATAAAGCAAACAATATGTCTGCTGCATTGACTTTTAAGCGGTATTCAGTGATTTCATCCTCCACAATAATGCAATGGCTTTGAATTATCCTAATTGGGGGCTTTCAGCAAATATTAATATATGTGATTAAAATCCATTTGATTAATTAATCGACCTATGTGATTTATTAGATTGGAGAAAATTAATTGCCAAACCTTAAAAAGAACTATTGAAAAGATTATTTTTCCGAGACGTCAGGCAAGGCATGATGGGTAAACAGGGACCCACTTCCATCCATAGTGTGTGTCCAAAGCAAGACGAGACAAATGGCGCTTTGAGTGGAAAATTCCCCTGTTGTAAATCTGTCACCTGGGCATGATATTTGTTTCTGTTATTGTAGCATTATTTATGATCTCAGTCTACCACAGGACTTAAAAAAAAAAAATTAAACAGCAACACGGCACAAGCCAAACAGTTATGACAGCACCCAGTTGACAGAAAACATAACCAGCTACGACAAGACGGATGTTAGCGCTGTGCTAACTAGCATTGGGCTAACTGTGACCATCCATGAACTTACCATCCACATTTCTTGACTAAACTACTAACATGATTACAGATGGTCATGCGGGACACTCTGTGAGGTTTTCAGGACTGTTTATCAGCATTCTGTCACCAGAGAGGTATTGACTTAGCCTTTAACCGGAGGGTGACGGATAGCGCCATGTTTGGGCATTTGTCTAAGGCCCAGAACCGGAGTCCATTCATGTTTTCTCATAGCAGATGGGGAGGAAGAGAAGGAAGAGAGGGGAATAAATGTCAAATCCCATCATTGGTTGGGCATTTTAAAAGCTTATTAGCGCACAGCATGCTTTCAGTCAACCATGTACGTAGCAAGTCTCTGTGTAATGGTGTGTGTGCACGTTTATGTGGCACCATTGCTAAGGCCGGGTTTATTTTAACTCAGCTGTTTTTCCGAGCATATCCACCCAGCCGTTCTGTCACAGCGGTTTGGAGGGCTTCTATCAGACCGCCTTTTTAAGGCCTCGTCCCTCTTTTTGTGGCTGCCAGTCAATCCGGAGGCCCCATATATCCTCCAGCAGCGGCGCTTGGCTGAGATACAAGACCTGACAGAGATGCGGAAGGAGGTATCGCCCCTTACAGCTGTTTCAGATCCCGCTCTGATACAAAAGACTCCGCTATTGGTCTGCCGTGTGTCACGTAGATAAATGTAGACTTTTTTTTGTCACAGCTGATTCAACAGATGAATTCCTGCCCTATTATTCATTCACCATGAGGCAGGGGTTTGAATTTTGGCACCCAAATGTGCTTTAGTAGGTTTTGGAGACTGGGCCGCGCTAGACCGTAGACTAACGAGAGCATGATGTAGGTCTCCGTGCGTTTGCTGCTCCGGTTCTTTGCAGAGACCCAGTTTGCGCCGTCTAATTGTTTCCAGAATCGGGGAGAACCGTCGGCCCATTTTAGACATTCCTCCATTCCTTGACTCTCTCATCCTCTCTTTCTCTCTCATAAGCTCTTCAACCTTGGTCTTCCTCCACCTTCCTACATCTCGTTCTTTCACAGTTTTGTTTGATCGCGCTCTGCGGCCAGGGTCCGCCCAAGAGAGCCTTCATTGCCCCCGGTGAGCCAACGAAAACACAAAAACATTCTGCCCTGGAAAGATACAGATGGGGTTAATAAGAATTAATAAAGTGTGGGGACACAAATGTTCTTGCAAGCTCAGGCTGCTTCAGACCAAAGCAGACTCTCTCCCTGTCTTTTCTTACATCTCTCTCATCACTCACTCTTTCTTTTTAGCCTCTGTTTCCTCTCTCCGCCTCTTGACAATCAGGTAACTGTATTTGCTTTCTTCTATTGAGCGATGAGGAGTGATCGCAGAGCTCCCTAAGCTCTACTATGTTCTCGGTCCTCTTTGAGAGGGTATTTATTTGGGAACATTTCAATAGATCTTCTGCTGTCTTGTTTTGTACTGTAGTATTTCAAAAAACATTGCTCACCTCTCCCATCCCAGAATTTATGTGTCCACCATTGCAGCTCAAAATCCGCTTATGTAACATCTTGATTCATACAAGACAATGTGACCAGGAAAGGAAAAGGCCAGCCTTAGATTGAGACCTGTCCTTTTATTCAGCTTACTCAGCTTTGCATTATTGTGCATTGTATATTCCCATTGATAATGGTGAACACTTAGGGAGCAGTTGTGTTTTTCAATTTTACAGTATTGTTCAATGCATTAGCTTTCATGAGCTAACAATGAACAGTATTTATTAATCTAGGTCAATATGTATATTTTTAAATACATTATATAATTTAATTCATAATACATAAACTGATTTAAATTTTATATTATATATATATAATGTAAATAAAAATATGCATTCTGTTTATTATTATTATTATTATTATTATTAAGGCTCAAGTACCCCTTCATAGTTCCTATTAACCTGTAATGGTACTGTATGTCATTATTATGTCTTATTGTAATTCAGGTTATTATTGTATTATATTAAACATCTTACTGAAAGCACTGCAGTGATAATTTATGGATCACCTCTTGCCAGGTTTGAACCTTTCAGTTCCAGTTTAGGCAATGGCATGCAAAGGAAAGCATACGGCTATCGGCACTCGTTCGCACTCACACACAAACCGCATGTTGCTATTTATCACATTTTTAGACTGACGTGAAAACAAATGTGATGGATCAATCTTGTATTGTCCCAGAATTCTTTGTTGAAGCCAGTGAGATACACACATGACACAGAGACATATGGTTTTTGGATTTGCTCCCACACAAGTGCATTTATTATTTTGATGGATACGGAAAAGCCGTGTGAGTGTCTGCTGTGTGTATAGAGATGTTGTGTAAAGACCGGGCATCTGTCGGCAGTGGTCCAGGTAACTGAGATTGTTTGTCTGTGTTCCTGGAATGGGAATGTTTCTCCTGACACATTTTTATTATACCACTGTTCTCACTGTGATTCATGTGTTTCAGCTGTGGTCTATCATCCATAATCGTACGCAACCTTTCACTGAATATTGCTCTTTTTATCCCCCCCCCCCCCCCCCCCCCCTTTCTTTTTGAATACAATCATATGTGACAGAGCAAAATTTGAACTCTGTGTTCTGGCTTGCTAAATGTGTTGTTTGCGTGTCATTTTAGCATGCGTCTGCATACCCGTCTTTTTATCTCACTGGCTCGTGTCCAAGTATCTAATTCTTGAACGCTAGAGGAAAACTGAGATTGAAATGGCTCTTTATCTCTAACCCATTTCCTCATTCCTGTTTTTGGACAGATTATCCCCCCACTCATAGACCTCAATCAGAACCGCAGTAAGCTGAAACTGTACATCAGCCACCTCACGGCCCTCTGCCACGAGAGAGACCCCCACATCCTGCAGGACCTGGCCCCGCCTTCCGCATACCAGCGCAGCCAACAGGACGCCTGGGAGGAGGAGCTTCAGAAGATGAGCCATGAACAGGTAGGACAAGGTGACATCCATGTGGGTGTACTCTTTTATTTGGAATATATCACTTTCATTGTATGCATTCATTAATTATGGTGACCTATCTAGTGTTTCTCTATTCACAGCTGTGATTTTGTTATTATGAAAAGGTTAACACTTTACAATAAGGTTCAATGCATTAACATGAATTAATGCGTTAGCTTGCATGAGCTAATAATGAACAGCATTCATTAATCTTGGTTTATATACTTTAAGTAATAAAAGTATTGTTCATTTTTAGCTCATTAACTAATGTACCAAATTGAAGCTTATTGCAAAGTGTCACCATAAAAAAAGACTTGATAGATGAAATTGATGTAACCTTTTATGCATCTTACCTTTTTTTCATGACTCGCTAAGCGCAAAAAGTTTGTCTATTTCTGCGAGTATGTGCACTCAAGGTACCGTAACGTTTCTCGGGTACTTGGATTTGTCACCCATTGATTATTGGAGCCATCTGGCCTGGCCCGCACGGCCCTTAGCTGACGCTAACGTTCACTGTCTATAAATCTCCTATTGGCTTTGAGAATCAGTCCGGCTCTGTGTAAATGCCATTAGTCCTCTTTATAGAGTGGAATGTGTTCCTACAGAAAATAAATAGTCCAATATATTGTGTTTTATTAGCTTCATTTACTGTTACTATAACAAAAGAAAACCAAAAAGCTACCCAAGGCTCACTTAAACGACGGGGGAGAGCCAAGAGTGGATGAAAGGGGGGTGAGAAAGACGTTTAAAAAAAATCAGAAGAAGAGCAACTGGAATGGCGCGATAAAGAAAAGGAGTGTCAGCATTTGGACTGCAAAAGAGAGAAGCGTTTGAGGAGGTAGTGGCTGGATTTAGTCTCTCCATGATGAATGATCCCCTCTCTGTAATAAATGTATGTGTGGATCCATTTTCTCTACTTCACTTTGAACCCATTGCCATACCTACCTTAACAGTAAATTGTCTGCAAACGGACAATGGGTTTAGTCCCTTCGTCGGTGCATCCCAGTTCTGCATCCATCCCTATGCTTTTTGTAACATCAGAAAAATAAATTGTCTGGAAGTCTACATATACATTATACTCACTTTAAATCGGCCCCATTCCTCAAGAGGAGAGGAGAGTGATCTGCTGTGATGGTGCCAAGGCTTATACAATGCTCATGTGTTTCACTGCATGGGGAACTATCTGCTTGGCAGGTTTTTGGCTCGCTCCAACATTATTGAAATGCATTTTTTTATGTGGGCTGCCTGATGACAAGCCTTTGGCCAGTGAACAAATAATGTTTAAGATTTTTAGTTTGCTGCAAGTAAACTTTGTTCCAAAAATTGGCACTTTCCAAGGGACTTCCCCCCCAAACACCCCCCCCCCCCCCCCCCCCAACTTGTTTAATATGAAGTAGGCGTCTGTACATTTATTTTCCTTTGAGAGAAACAGCTTTCATCAGACTGTACGGACAGACTGAGAGGTTGCACGGCCTTTCAAACAGAGTGTTGCCACTGGTCAGTCGAGGCTACTGCATTATGTAAACATCAGGTCTGTTTTGTGGTTTTCAAATTGAATTTTTGCCCGTAATGTGCTTAAAAGGGGCCAGAATTTCCAGAATAATGCGAGACCTCCTCGGCCCTGTAATACCTAGAGAAGATACCCGTTAGCATTCCCGTTCACCTTCATAGCAGTCTCAATCCCTTCACTCGTGGCAATCCTGAAAAGTGGTGTCAAATGCAGCAGACAGAGACTCTGTTCGCTGAACTCTGTTTTTGCTTGGTCTCGCCAAGCCGTTATTCCTCCTCGACCTCCTCTAAGGCCAACAATCCTGTGTTTATGTTGTCCAAACTATCAATGACAGTGTTTAGAAAGCACCGCTGTTGTGGGGGTGGGGTGGGGGGGGTAAGAACTCCTGGACCTCCGCGCCAGGTTTCTGACTAAAAAGGGTTCTCTCTGAGACAAATGTGTCCTCTTTGGTGATGTCACTTCTGTGAGAGTGAGAAGCAAAGGAATCATGTAGTATTGTTCAAGAGCGTTCAGGTTTGTGCCAGGGTTGCAACACTTGGCAGCCTTTTTTTGGCTTGGCCAACATGGCGATTTCATGTCGGACACATTAAGGCAAAGATAATGAATATTTCAGGATTCACCGGTTAGGCTTTACCTCTCAAACGTTTACACATATATCAGGATTTTTCCTCTCCAAATCCAATAGCTCTGAGATATTTAGCGTTTCACATCCATATGGTATCCACATGTACGGGATCCTGCTCATTCTTCAGTTACATGTCCTACATGTAAGACACAATCCGCTTGAAGAAACTTTTGGTCTTTCTCTGATGGTGGAATCACTTGCAGATGGTGGATTGGACGAGTTGCCGGCAATCACAAGCCTGTTTGATTGATGTCTTCTTTGACCTCTCTTCTTTTTTTTGCGTTGGGAGTGTAGCACATTACATTAGCGTTCTCTCCGCACTGCAGTTCGCCCATTTAGATCCCTTCAGCACGGAAGATGCCAGAACGGGCCCGTTTGGCCATGACAGGCTCAAATTGACGAGAAAAGTCTGGGCTCATTATTGGCTTATTTAGCCTGTTCTGTTCAGTCCATTATTGTTAGTAACGTCCACATGAATTTACTTGTGGTGTCTTTTGATGGCACGTATGCCTCTCCATAGACCCTAAAGTGGCTCGATTTGGGTGAAGGCTCTTTGCTAATCATCATTCTTATAAACCAAATTATTAGTAACTAATTGAATGGCCCTTTGTGGCACAGTCGCCATCGAGCCTGTAGAGGAATTGAGGTTGGTGTCCGCTATGCCCGGTCCTCTACTAATGACAAGCTTCTTGCATTCAAAATGTGCTTTAGTATTTACGAGGGGCAACACACTGTTTGAGCCCTTGCCCTTTCTTTGAAGCTAAACATTGATCTTTTAATTAACAGTTTTTATGGGCTTCCTTTTTACTGGCCTGGCACTCTAAGCTGGCACAGAGCTGGGTAATGTAGGACTTTGGGGTTTCTACCCTGATTTCCTTTGTCTCTTTCGCAGTTTATAGCATATAAAGACAGTGTTTCCTTTTTGTTTCTTTTCTTTTAAAGGGATAGCTCACTAAAAAATAGTGACTTTTTTTTGTCATAATTTACTCACCCTAATGTTGTTTCCAAACCTGTATGACTTTCTTTATTCTGTGAAACACGAGAAGCTATCTTGAAGAAATTTTTTTTTTCAGACAATGAAAGTCAATGGGGTCCAGTGCAGTTTTGGACCCCACTGACTTTCATTGTATGGACAAAAACAGTTCTTCAAAATATCTTCCTTTGTGTTTGTTTCCCAACACTTATTGGGCTCTGTTCTAAAGCTATTTTAATGGCGACAGGCGGGGTTACTCAGAAGATTGTAAAACCAAGTTATACATAAGCCCGCTAGACATCATAATAGATTAATCAGGACGCAGACAATGCAAACACACAGGAGGATCATAATTCACCCAAAAACACACTCTTGTGAACTCGAACTCGTCTATTACTTGGACTCCGCCAGACCGCCCCATTAGGCCTTGCTGCCAGCTTGTCCTCTGTTGTGGTCAATCCTTCTTTTATTACTCGTCCTCCCTGCCTGTTTTTTTTTTTCTGTTTATGGCGTAATGTTGTTTTATTTGGTTTGAGCTGTTCACAGGATGTTACTGCATCTCTGTTTAAACGGCTGGAATGCAGGAAGGTGATTAAGCCGGTGCTGAAAGAACCACTCAGTCATACAACCCACAGAGCCAACAAAGACAATAGACTCACCAAAAACGCACCCCATTTAGATGAAGAATTGGTGTTTTCAGGAACAAAAACAAAATTATTGTGCATTGTACATCTAATAGGGCCTTTAGAGTTTAACTGAAGGGTAATTGGGTCGTGAGTAATAAATATGCCCTTACCAAAATATACTGTGGTACAGATATCATAAAGATAGATGGATGGATGGATGGATGGATGGATGGATGGATGGATGGATGGATGGACACATTCACACACACACATGTATATATACAAATTAACATTATATGTATAACATGACTTTTTTGCTGGTTTCAATACCCAATTATGAATAATTCCTTGAGAAAAGCAATCATCTGTGACACTGTTTGCAGCTGTGAGACGCCCCACTCCTGCACTGCAGATGTGTCTGTGATGAGCAGTCATTGTTTGATGAAAGTTACTGTCAGTTATGTTCTGTGGCCAGTTTCACCTCCACTCTCATAACGTTCGAGTCTTCTGTTTACTTTAGAGACTGCTGATCTTAGATCAGTATGTAAAGTTTACAATCTTGGAGGAGAGAAGCGAAGTGCTCGACCGCCCTTGGCCAAAGTCATCTGGCTGTGATCTGGCAGCACAAAGCCAGCTGTATAAATAGGGGAGAGTCTTGCATTTTACGGGTCACTCTGAATAAAACATGAACTAGAGAAGATTGATTATTAATGACCTCAGGGCTGGAACAGAAATAATCTGTTAGGCCTTGAGTCCTCCATTCTTTTTCCTTCCCTCTTCCCTCTCTCGTTCTCGGCGCACCTTCATCTGTCTTTCGCTCACTTCTCCTCTCGGTTTCCTTTCCGATTGGCACTCCGATAGATATTTACTTTAGCCATCTGTTTTCAGACGTTCCCCTTCGAATAGATCAAGAGTTCAATAAGGATTCATGCAGATTTTGTGATGATTCACAGGCTCACACCTGTCAGAGATGGCATCAGATCTCTGTGTGGGCTCCAGTGGCGGTCCACTAGGGAGTTTTCCAAGGAGGTTGATATTTAAATCAAATAGATTGTTGTAGGTTATGATAATCATTTTGTATTTCTGGCCTGTGACAAATGTTCCATCCTCTGCTCCTTTATTATAGTTTTCTTTTTTTATGGCACTTCATTCAGTCATTCTTTTTTATGAGATCCTTCAATAATTTGGACTTTGTCAGTATTTTGGCTAAGTTAGATAATCTTTCTTCACCTGTTGCATATGAAAGTGAAACAGAAA